AGTTTGTCTTCTGTGGTGAAGAACTTAAAATTTTGACAAATACCTTCACTTAATTTATGTTACATGTACAAACATGAATAATGCCATCGTCATTAACAGCAAGCTACTATAATAAGGCTATTTCCTGAAATATAGCACATTCCAATACAACTGAGCTGAGGTGAAGTTGTTTTAATTCTGAATTTCATGGAAGAAGTCTTTTCTCACAAAAATAAAGGTCATGGTTTCAATTCCCGTTTAGATATGCTAGTTACAAAAGAGCAAAGTTTCCACAGCCACAAATTCTTTCTCAACTCTGGCAAAATTATTTGTGAAGATTTTGGACACAAAAAGGGGTTATGAGAGTGAATCTGGAAATCCCTGTGTGAACCCATCTGGGAGAAAAGGAAAGTACAGATGGCATATTGGCATTCATCTACAAAAGGAGCAGATGTTTAAAAGGTCCTATTTTTAAACATACCAATGTAATTTTAAGAGTATCAGTGTCAAGGTTGGGCAATATTTAGATTTGCAGAAATTATCTCATTCATGCAGTCATTCACATATATTCTTCAAGCACATACTGCGTGCCTGACCCTTAGATGCAAAGTTGGGCAAGACAGTACCTGAGCCTACCCCATCCAGGCTTGTGTAACCTGGGAATGGGGAAAATAATGACTTTCAGGAGAGAAGAAGTTTCGATCTAGGTAAGATAAAAAACAAAACGGCAAACAAACAAAAAAAGAAACTTACTTCTTAACATTTAAATCACAGATATGTACCAAATTCATAAAGAAATGCCCAGTATGTCTGTGGTATTAAGATTGCATAGGGATTCTGATATGATGGCACATGCTTATAGTCCCAGCACTCTAGGACACTGAGGCAAGAGAATCACAAATTTGAGCCCAGCATCTTAATGACTTAACAGGACCCTGTCTCTAAGTAAAAAAAGGCTGGGGATATAGCTCAGTGGGGTTCAATCCTCAGTCCACACAGTGGTGTTCTTGCTCTCTCTCTCTCTCTCTCTCTCTCTCTCTCTCTCTCTCTCTCTCACACGCACACACACACACACACACATACACATACAGCATGCATACATGTCATGGGGAGGGCTGATTAGAAATAAAATGTCTAAGGAGATCCTATGAAAAGCCTTAAAACAAGATTGAGTATCTAACCTCAGCACCCCGGGAAGCTGAGACAGAAGAATTGCAAATTCAAGCCCAGCATGGACAGCTCAGTAAAAACTATGTCAAAATAAGAAAAGGCTGGAAATGTAACCCAGTGTGAAGATCCCCGCTTCAATCCCCAGTACAATAATAGAAACAAAAACATGTCCATTGAAAAGAAATAAGCAAGTGATTATAAGGAAATATGATAACTGCAATGGTGGAATTGGCACAGATTATTATGGCTGTGCATACCAGAGACACCTAATTTAGTACAGAACAGGAAGTCAAGGAAGGCCTGCTGGGGAGAGGACAGAAGTGAGATGTTAAGGATGGCTGAAAGGAATTACCCAGGCAGGCAGGTAGGAAGCCATGTGCTGAACTCAAAGCAGAAAGGGCTTATGAAATGTCCTTGACAGTCACTCACATGTAGTATCGCTGAAGAAAAACGGTATTGACCCTAATTTATCTCACTTGACCAGTTCAGGTAACTGATTCACAAAGTCAGATACGAAAACATAGATTATTGAAAGCTGAGTTTGTGTCACATTTTTGGACAATAAATAAATCCTGTTTTACACAAGTACCTTTCTGTCCACTGTCTGCCATCATCATAGCAAGATCCTGACCACCTCCTGCCAGATATTCCAACAGCCGCTGACTAGCCTCCCTCCAACCGCTCCATAGCATAGAACTCCACGGAACCTTCTGGAAGAAATGTGCTCAGTCAAGCTGCTTGGCAGGTAGGTATTTCCTTATTCTTGATCTTCATCCTAATCCAGTCAGCTCCTCGGCCTGCCTGTTAGGGATTGTTACCCATTTAAGTGAATTTGAGTGTAGCTTTCAGCCAACAGTTCTTAAACCTTTCATCTAATACAAGTTGTGGACCTTCTCTAACCCCTCCAGTGACCAACATTGACAGCCTGCTGTGTCCCTGGCACTAAAGACAAAGCCTGACAGGAATCCAGGTTCTTCACACATGCAGTTTGCTTTCTGCAGAGCAAAGGCACAGAGAAAATGCTTGAACAAATAAATAGATCTCATCGTTTCAATTAAGAATGAGTGTTAAGAAGGAAATACAAAGAGGGTAACAGTTTTAAGCGACTTTAGATAAGGAAATGGGAGAATAAGGCTAACAAGTGACAGAGAATGAGACCTCAAATAGCCAGCTATGGGCAAACAGCCAAAATCCTCTCTTCCAGATAATTTGAAATGTTTGAGATGATGGCTATGCTAATTAGCCTGGTTTGATTATTACACATTGCGTACAGTATCAAAGCATCTTACTAAACCCTACACTTTCTTTCTTCTTTCTTTCTTTCTTTCTTTCTTTCTTTCTTTCTTTCTTTCTTTCTTTCTT